CGAGCACCTGACTCACAGCAACACGAGCACCTGACTCACAGCAGCACCAGCACCTGACTCACAGCAACACAAGCATCTGACTCACAGCAGCTCCAGCACCTGACCCACAGCAGCTCCAGCACCTGACTCACAGCAACACAAGCATCTGACTCACAGCAGCACCAGCACCTGACTCACAGCAGCACCAGCACCTGACTCACAGCAGCACCAGCACCTGACTCACAGCAACACCAGCACCTGACTCACAGCAACACGAGCACCTGACTCACAGCAACACCAGCATCTGACTCACAGCAACACGAGCACCTCACTCACAGCAACACGAGCACCTGACTCACAGCATCACCAGCACCTGACTCACAGCAGCACCAGCACCTGACTCACAGCAGCACCAGCACCTGACTCACAGCAACACGAGCACCTGACTCACAGCAACACGAGCACCTGACTCACAGCAACACCAGCATCTGACTCACAGCAGCACCAGCACCTGACTCACAGCAACACCAGCACCTGACTCACAGCAGCACCAGCACCTGACTCACAGCAGCACCAGCACCTGACTCACAGCAACACCAGCATCTGACTCACAGCAGCACCAGCACCTGACTCACAGCAACACCAGCATCTGACTCACAGCAGCACCAGCACCTGACTCACAGCAGCACCAGCACCTGACTCACAGCAACACCAGCATCTGACTCACAGCAGCACCAGCACCTGACTCACAGCAGCTCCAGCACCTGACTCACAGCAGCTCCAGCACCTGACTCACAGCAGCACCAGCACCTGACTCACAGCAGCACCAGCACCTGACTCACAGCAACACCAGCACCTGACTCACAGCAACACCAGCATCTGACTCACAGCAGCACCAGCACCTGACTCACAGCAGCACCAGCACCTGACTCACAGCAACACCAGCACCTGACTCACAGCAGCACCAGCACCTGACTCACAGCAGCACCAGCACCTGACTCACAGCAACACGAGCACCTCACTCACAGCAACACCAGCACCTGACTCACAGCAGCACCAGCACCTGACTCACAGCAGCACCAGCACCTGACTCACAGCAGCACCAGCACCTGACTCACAGCAACACCAGCATCTGACTCACAGCAGCACCAGCACCTGACTCACAGCAGCTCCAGCACCTGACTCACAGCAGCTCCAGCACCTGACTCACAGCAGCACCAGCACCTGACTCACAGCAGCACCAGCACCTGACTCACAGCAACACCAGCACCTGACTCACAGCAACACCAGCATCTGACTCACAGCAGCACCAGCACCTGACTCACAGCAGCACCAGCACCTGACTCACAGCAACACCAGCACCTGACTCACAGCAGCACCAGCACCTGACTCACAGCAGCACCAGCACCTGACTCACAGCAACACGAGCACCTCACTCACAGCAACACCAGCACCTGACTCACAGCAGCACCAGCACCTGACTCACAGCAGCACCAGCACCTGACTCACAGCAGCACCAGCACCTGACTCACAGCAGCACCAGCACCTGACCGTCGCTGTGAGAACTGTCTCTGTCTTGGTTCTGATCGTTCCCAGGGGTCGGTTCCATCTGGAGCTGAATTATAATTTTCTCCTAAAAACCTGTCAAAACGTCTAATCATAATGTGACAGTTGAAGCCGGGAAGAGAAAAGTGGCAGATTCTCAGACTACATCCTTCAGAGAGAAACATTCTGTGGATGAAGTCATTATTCACTTTGATTGTTTTAAACCAACACCAGAAAAGCTCAGAGTTTTATGCTTCAAGTTTAAGTTTGCTTCTATTGGTCTTTCATTTGCAAACTCTGCCAGAACCATGTAATTCATTCATTCATCCACAGAGCAGCATACTGAAATAACACATCGACACACAATGACAGGGTTCTAAAGAGTTCTAAAGCGTTCTAAAGTGTTCTTCAAGTTTATAGATGGTTCTAAAGGGTTCTAAAGGGTTCCAAAGGGTCCTAAAGGGTTCTTCAAGATTATAGATGGTTCTAAAGGGTTCTAAAGGGTTCCAAAGCGTTCTAAAGTGTTCCTCAAGTTTATAGATGGTTCTAAAGGGTTCCAAAGGGTCCTAAAGGGTTCTTCAAGATTATAGATGGTTCTAAAGGGTTCTAAAGGGTTCCAAAGCGTTCTAAAGGGTTCTTCAAGGTTATAGATGGTTCTAAAGGGTTCTAAAGGGTTCCAAAGGGTTCTAAAGGGTTCTTCAAGGTTATAGATGCTTCTAAAGGGTTCCAAAGCGTTCAAGGTTACAAATGGTTCTAAAGGGTTCTAAAGGGTTCTTCAAGGTTATAGATGGTTCTAAAGGGTTCCAACGGGTTCTAAAGGGTTCTTCAAGGTTATAGATGGTTCTAAAGGGTACTAAAACTTGATGCTGCAGCCACAGCACGTTTACAAATGACATCAGAGACTTGTCGAGAGCAGCTCAAGAAGGTGTCTCTCTATCTGTCTGTGTGTGTGTGTGTGTGTGTGTGTGTGTGTGTG